GGAGGGGGGGAAGGAGGGGTGACCTGTCTGTTCTTGTCTGCGGTCGGTGGGAGGTTGTGTGTGTCTGGAAGGTCCGTCTCTGCCCGCGACAGCAGTGTTTAGTGGCTCATGTTGGGCTTTGGAAGGGTTGTGGGGCAGGGAAACGTGTAAAAACACATCAAGATGTGGTTCAAAGCTGGTATGCTATTAAAAGTGAACGGTATGCTCTACAGTGTGGTTACATTGGTCTTAAAACTGTACTAGCCCAGCTTCTAAGCCAGTCAAATGGGATTTGCAAAATGGTTGAAAAGTTTCAAGGAAGAAACAGACGTCTTCAGGTCTAGTGGCAGAAAGAAATGGCTTCACATTTTTATTTCTCCTTAGAAAACCTGAAAAAGGAGTCCAGTACCTAATTGAGCGAGGTTTTGTGCCAGACACTCCAGTCGGCGTTGCCCACTTTCTCCTGCAAAGGAAAGGTCTCAGCAGACAGATGATTGGAGAATTTTTGGGAAATCGGCAAAAACAGTTCAACAGGGATGTATTAGAGTGAGTATTGTATGGGGGGAGGAGGTAAGCGTATTTTAATATTCAAGTAAGATGTTTCATCAAGCTAATGAGAGTAATGTTTTCTGAATGTTTTGTTCATAACTTGTGAATAGACTCTACGGGTTAACAAAGAAAACACATGCAAATACAGATTTATTTCTTCGCTTTCCACTTAAGTTACTGTTTTTCTGATACTGGTCCAGTAGGATGCTTACAAGGATTTATATTCTCTGCAGTCATGTACATTTACTCTAAATTTATGTTTTAATTTCACTTGGGTGTAGAGTGTATCTGTTATTTAGAAACCTTTTCCCTTACGCAAGCTCACTAATAATTTATTGAATGAAACAAAATAACATTACATGCAACATAAGGCTTCATCAGTAACAGAACATAAAACTAATTATTACAGTTCCAGAACCATTTATTATTATTTTATTTCATTTAAATGGCTCAGATGTTAGATAAGCAGGAATTTCAGTGTGTAGAGGTATATGCCAACAGGATCTATGCAAACTCTTCTTTTTCTAAAAGAATAGATAAATGAAAACTGGTTTAAAAATTAGAAATTCAAAGTAGCAAATTAAGACTTTTAGCAGTTTGGTCATACATTTTTAAACCTTATGTATAACGTAACTTGGAAAAAGAAGCTGTTTTATTTTAAGAGGGTGTTCATTTAACCACTGGTTCTTTCCAAGACTTCATCATCTTGGTTCTTTCCATACACAGGTCTCTGTAAAGAGTTCAGGAACAGAGAATTAAGGCAGTTGTAGGGCGGCTTCCCTAGCCGACCAAATAGTGCGTTAGACTGCTCTTGCCTAAATTTTGTGGAGAAGTGGTAAGTAGGGGATCAGTCCCAGGAAGAAGTTCCAATTATCTGCTCTCTGGAAGTGGTAAAGCCCAGCTGCCTCTTGCTTTTGTCTCTCTGGGAGACATAGCTGTAATAGCACAGATGCAGTTACTCAGCACAGGTGAATTCATCCAGAGTACATATTTACTCAGAATCTCCTACAGTGGCTGAAGTCCATTTAATCATATCTCTGTCATTATGACCCTCGTTAGCAAAATTAGTGTGCCGTTACTACTTTCATGATTTCATTTGCTGTATAGACCTAGCCAAATAATTTATCTTCCCGTTTTTGGTCGTTACATACGCACTAGAAAGGTTTTGTTTACTATTTTAAAATATTTTGCGAAAACTACTGGCCCCAGTTAAGAACATTAATCATGGCAGCACATCTGCTGTCTCTGTAGCTCATCTAGAAGGCTTGCTTGCTGGCATGTTTCAGGAGGTCTTTATTTGTACTAAATAATTCAGTTTTCAGTTTGACCCCAACTTGTCTGCACATGTGCTTTACATCCTTTGAAGGAGGGAAGAGTTTTTGAAAGCATTGCAGAACTTAAAATAGGTAGGAAGACTGAACACTATTGCAGAACTGATAGTCTTTTTCTAGCTGTGGATTGCAAAGTGCATGAGAAACGCCACACTTGCTTTTTTCCTTGTACTTCTGCATGAAAGGAAAAATATACCAAGTGAGGTGAATAAATTGCTTTAGAATTAATCTATGGTAGCTACAATGTTACAAGAGGAAGCGAGAGCTACTCTAATTTATCATTGTATAGCTATATATTTAAGAAAAAGCTTTTAGAACTGGATTGTGCTTTCTTTCTGTGGTTTCTGCGTTAAAGTGCTGTTACTTGCAGTGATTTCATGTCTGGTTATTGAAAAACTAAAAGCCAAGCTTAAAAGAAGGGAAACTTATAAGCTTCTGATTTTGAAGTAGTCTCTAAACAAAGTATTAGAATGACATAGTTCCCATCATTGATTATGTTAAACTGGTTCCTGTTTTATTATTTGTCATCACAGAGCAAGAAAATAATTCTTTCTCAATAAATGTTAGTTGAAGAACATGGCAGTGACAGGGAGATGAGAATCACAGGCGTAGGTAGAATCCCAAAACAAGATTAATTTTTTTTTTTTTCCTCAGCATATGAGAACTTTCCTGGACAAAAAGCCATTTGATGGAGGTTATTCTGCTTGTTGTGGGCTGTTTGAGAGTTGGTATTGCAAGCAGTATAAACTTTTTATGACTATTTATTACTACACTGAGTAGTAGTAATTGATTGGTTTGAAAGCACAAAACCAGTAATTATTCATGGCAATGACATGTTGCCTGGGTCAGACATTGGTAATTCCAGCAGCTCTGCTGTTGAAAAATAAATAAGGACCTGCTTACATGTATGCTTTCTCATTGATCTGTTCTTTGCAATCCTTCCTTCCTTTGTGGTTTGCCTGCTGTTACTGCAATTGCTGCTGTGTGTTTCTAAAAATTCCATGAATTGGTATTCTACTGCAAGGGGAGGAAAGCTGAAGGATTTTTCTTATCACAAAATCTTCTCTTTAGTAGCCTGTTGTTAGAAATAAAAAGACCCAATGGCAATATGTTTTTATCCCAGCTGTGTTGTGGATGAGATGGACTTCTCAACAATGGAACTGGATGAAGCACTCAGGAAATTTCAGGCTCATATTCGTGTTCAAGGAGAAGCCCAGAAAGTAGAACGACTCATTGAAGCTTTTAGGTATGGTGCTGAAATAATTTATTCACTCACCAGAAACCTGCTATTGTCTGTCTGTCAAACTGGAGAACCAGTGAGGTTGAGTAGATCTGTGTTATTTCACTATTTATTTGCGCTGTCTTTGTGAGTGACATACAGTTTCAAGTATAGCACGTCATCGGTGCTGCTTCTGCCAAATAGGCTATAGGGAGTTTTGTTTGCTGATGCTGTTCATGTATGTGTTTGTATTAATGTAGCATGGCTTCTCAATTAGAAGGTCTCTCTGGCATTAATTGAAAAAAAATGTAGGGTTTTTTGAATGTCGATAGTAGAATGTATTTGCATGAAATAGTTTATATACATGAAAATATAGACCTGTTTACATATGTATATATGCATATGTTGTATAAACCTTTCATTAATGTGCTCATTAAACAACAATAGTGGAATAAAGATCGTTAACTAATTAATGCTAACACAAGTTACTTTATCCAGGGCAGGAGTAGATGTAAATCAACTTGCAGCACCAAGCTAGAATCAATGCTGTATTCTTACCTGGTGCCAGTAGGTATTACTCACTGATTAAAATGAAATACTGAAGTTACTGTAGCTCAGCATCTGTTCTAAGAAGTGAAGTTTTGCATACAATAAAATGTGGAAGACTTCTATTTTCTAGAGTTGACTTACGAAAATATATGGACAGAAAACTAAATTTATGTATGGAGCAGAAATAATAGCTTGCTCAGCCTCTGCATTGTAGCAACTGGTTTATTTGATGGTAGTATGATAGTAGTTTATAGCTCTGACAGCCCTTCCTTTCTGCTTTCTACAGCCAACGATACTGCATCTGCAATCCAGGTGTTGTGAGACAATTCAGAAATCCTGATACCATCTTCATTCTAGCCTTTGCAATCATACTGTTAAACACAGATATGTACAGCCCGAATGTGAAACCAGAACGCAAAATGAAGCTAGAAGATTTTGTCAAGAATCTAAGGGGTAAGCAAATATTAAGAGTGATGCTCATGACAGCTTTTTTTGCTCTAACTGTCACTGGAGGGACGTCGTGTACTTTCTGGGAAAAGACGAATACAGGGGGCTTGTTTCTGATTTCACTTGGCTTTTAAAAGCACTGTAATTCTACAGGCTTTAGTTGTTTTTTCTGCAAAAGTGAAAACAGAATTAAGCCTATAATACTTTTTCATTTTTTTTATCTTGTCCTTTTGGAGAGGCTCTACTGTCAGGTTTTTTTATTCCCAAACCCTACAATGTACCTGAAAAGTGACCGTTACCTTGTATTCAGAACTCTTCAGTGCCTCAGTTTCTTAGATGTAATTGAAGGTTGCTAAACTGACGTCCTGCACAAAATCAAAGGGCAGCTCATACAGACAGCAACTTTTATGCACATGAGTGAAGGGGAATAAATTCTGTTGCAATAAAGTTACTCTACCAAGAGTGTGCGAGTGTGTGTTTTTATAGATGCATGTATCTTTCTGTATATAAAATCAGTCACATTGCAGACTCTTTGTGAGAGGAGGAATGTGATTTCTAGAGAGTGGACTACGTCACTACACTGCAGCATAAGCTTACTTGTAAATTCTCATAGAGGTGCTATCGTCATGGTTTGTAGTTTTTGATTTTTCCATAGTAACCAAATGTATTAAGAGGGATATCAGATCTCCGATCTGAGAAAATCACACAAGTAAGCAGTCTCAAATATTTTCCAGAATTTTATTCTAAAAGGAAACTTCTTTCCCTCCTTAGTTTCAAAAGTAGACATTTTTTAATTCTTATTAAGCAGACCTGTAGAGGGGCCTGGTGAGCTTTTATCTCCTTGTTTTTCGTTAGAGAGTTACCAGCCTAGGAGCCTAAGCGCCGCAACAGCGTTCCGTATTCTCGGAGGTGCAGATGCATGACTCTGTTAGACGCTTGTATAGTATATTAGGTGTTGCCATAGAAAACTTTCACTCACTGAGGCTGTATAGGCATATTGAGGAACAGAAATCACTGTGCTGTGAGGACGACCTTTGGAAATAAACTGAAGATTTAAATTCTCTGGAAAGAAAAAAGTCCTAGCTCCAAAACCTTCCTGAAGGGTACTGGGGATCCAGTAAATAAATTTCTCTCTGGTGTCTTGGTTAGTATATCCTCTGGTCCAGAAACCATTTGCCAGCCAGTGGCATGCCTAAAACTGTAGTTAAATTGCCCAGCCTTTTCAGATCTTTCTATACTGATTCTTTCTGGGGAGAAAGAACGAGTTTTTGTGAAGTACTAACTCAGCCAGTGCTCAGCTTCACCCAACAGAAAATAGTCACTGTAGAGCTGAGGAGGACAGTGGTACCTAAACAAATGCGATGCCCTCTGCTGTTCCTGGGCGTTCCAGGACGGATGGATCGGACGACGTTTACCTCTTACCGTAGGAGAATTCTCAGACACTGGAGAAGAAAAATGAGGCCAAAGTCCCTTACCCCATCCCTCTTTTCCTTTCAGATAGCCTGTGCCCGTAGGGGGAAAAGTAGCTTTTATTACAGTTCCATTATGGTTTGTGCAAAGGCCAGGAAAATTGCCTGCTCAGTTGTTGCCATCCTCCTCTCCACCTCCCCCTGCTTTTAGACATAGGACAAGCACAGCTCAGTGCAGGGTGTTCCTCCTTTTGGTAACACTGGATATAGCAGCATGGTAGCAGAAGAGGCCCACTACTGCGGGCACCAGCAAGTATTAATATACTGCTTAACAGCCATCTTCCTGGTGGTATCTAGAAGTGAGCTTAATGGCGGGAACGTGGAATGGAGTTGCTTAACATGTAAAAACGTATTGTCGCGTCTTGGATGCATGGCAGTTTATATGCGTGTGTGCGTGTGATAATTTCATTTTAGTGCCAGTGAAAACAGATACTTGTGTTTTTCTAGAATTTCAGATCTTGAAAATGAAATTTATTTGTTGATTTTATTCCCTTAAATCTGTGCAAGACATCAGTGAGTAATCTGTTCTTAGTAGAAGTTTTAGCTTAGCAATTTTTAAGTTAATCTTGAGATTTTATCTTTAAGTCCACAAAGAGATTAAAAAATGGCCTGACATTTTTCTCTCGTGGTAATATTGCAGTCATATTCTCTCAGAGAGTATGTTTTCTCTCAGCTCCAGCCTGAATGCCAACTATTCCTTATTATTATAGAGATTTTTCTAACAGACTGCCTTGCCTCTAACTTTAAATGACTGGATCTCAAAGGGTGGTGTGTCACACACGTGCTGGTGTGGCATAGAACGGAGGCTGTTTTACTTTGTTTTAGTGCAAAGAAGCCATGTTTTGTCACAGTGCTTTTTGCGTGAGCAGTTTTTTGGGTGACAAAAGATCGTATTTTGGCTCCTGAATGTGAGATAGTGGGATTGTTGCTCTAAAACCTATTTAAAAATAAATATGCACCTTCTTGCCCCCAGGAAATCTGGTTTTAAGTCACTTATTGGAATTGGGCTCCCTTCCACTGCTGTTAAAAATTCAGCATGCAAGACTCTGACACTTGTTAGAATATTTATATGCTGGTAAAAATCACACAGTACTAAAAATTAACATTGTAACTGGACTATTTTGTGAAAGTATTTTTCCAGAGTAAATTAGTTGTTTTTGAAATCGTACAGGAAGTATTGGTTAAATTAATTTTACCAAGTTATCCGTAAGGTTGTCTTTTGGAAATGATGCTGTGAGCAGAGTATCGAGCAACCTTGGGCTGGGGGACGAAGTGTTTTTGCAGTGCTAGGCAGTTCTGAGGTCAGAGGGAGATGTTAATGTCTAAAGAGTTATTTAACTCATTTGGGCTGTGGCACCAAAATAGAGGAACTGTTTAAAAAAAAAAAAAAACTGTAGGAAATTACCCTTTTTATAGGTTAGCTTTAGATTAGTTGTGAAACAAAAGTGAAAAAACAAACCTAAGTCAGTAATTCCGATCAATGTCTTAGTGGTAAAGTATGGGATTGGTAAATGTGTGGGCAAAAATCAGGGCTTCGGTACTGAGTAACGTAACTTCTGCCACTCGGGTAAGGTAGCCGCAAGAGCAGCATAGGAGGTGTTGGCTTGCAGAGTCCTGGCAGCTCTGAATCAGGGCAGCATGAGCAGGCGCAGCAGCAGTCCTGGGCAACGTTTGCTTCGCTGTCAGCAGAGTAGACAAAGCTTACCCGGTTCTTATCTTGTCCTTGCTGAGGAGTCTACCTTGCTGAGAGGTGCTAGTGTTTGCTAGTCAGATCATCAAAAGCCAGAGTGGTGATGAAAACTGTTGGCTTCTGCAGGCGTGGATGACGGTGAAGATATCCCACGAGAAATGCTGATTGGGATTTATGAGCGGATCCGCAAGCGGGAACTGAAGACAAATGAGGATCATGTGTCCCAAGTCCAGAAGGTTGAAAAACTCATAGTAGGAAAGAAACCAGTAAGTTCACTTTGCACTGAATGTCAGTTGCTAAGTAATAAAGAGCTGTAGGGCAATGTACAGCATAGAACAATACAAAAGTGTATTGCTTAGAAGTGTAAATTGGCCAGTAAAGGGCAAAAAGTAGGAACAGTGTCAAAATAATAATTTTCTATAGAGTTATTTTTAATTTTGGGGTGTTCACAGTGCAGATGAATCTACTGTTGCAGTCTGGTATTCATGAGTGATGAGATCCTGAGTTAAATTTTTTTTTAAATAATTTTTCCAGCATTTTCTCCCCGTGAAGCTTTAAAGCTCTGGAATGCCTGTATCTTAGGCAGCTCTCATGTTTGTTTCAAGAGAATTGAAGTGTGTTGCTGTGAAGTGTGTTGCTGGCTTTACAGGATCATATTTCAACATTTATGCTATCCATTATGGTTCCATAAGTTACAAGAGTAACAGAAGCTCTTATTCATATCAGTCTCTCTTACAGCCTTGCAGCTAGCTCTGTGACCCAGTGGTTAGAAGAGAGGAGACTGTGTAACTACCAAGAGTGTCATTTTGCCTGAGAACTTGTCCGGAAATCCGGTCCCAGGAATTCTAATGCTGGTTTTGAATGCTTTTTTAGACTTGAGCAACTCACTTAAAATCTCTTCCTCACTTTCACCTTCTCTATGACTTGGATATTTATTTTGCCAAGATACCTCTCATTTTGTTGTGGGAAACATCCTGAAATATTTTGCTATACAAATTAATCACCAAAGCATCTATTGGGAAATTAGAGAGAAAAGGAAGGCACAGTATTTTTTATCTGTGTTTTAGGAGCTGAGTGACTTAAGACATGGAGACATTAAGACCAACGTTTTACTTGCTAACAGTGCTATCTAATGTTGAGAGTGACAGCAGATACTCAGCTTTCCTCAGTTCAATCACTTTCTGAAAATCTACATGTTTCTAGTCATGAAGGCAGCCCAGAACAAAGACAAACTAAAACTAGACCTACCTGTTCCTAAGTTTTCTATCAATTTTTTACCAGCTTTGGAATTTTTCTGCAGTAGAGACTGATTTAAAAACAAAAACCGAAACCAAATTGAGCAAGGATCTCAGGATCCTACCCTGTGGGGAGGAGAAAAGAGGTTTCATTTTCCCAGTAATGGAAGATTGAAGGGATCTCCTAGAAGAAGCAGAAGAGAAGGCAAAATTTCTTAGAGTAATAAAAGGTTTTGTGTATTTTTGAGAGGAGAAATATTCTGAAGTTGACAGTCACATGTGCTTTCTTATGCTTTCCATAATTGTTTGGAGGTTTAGCTTTATATATAGGTTTCTACGGGAGATTATTTTTTCCTGCTGCTGCTTGTCTTATTCAGGCATGTGGCAGTCCAAATCCTGGGATTAATCTCGGCCTTGTAAATTTAATGGGATTAAGAGAACAATGCCCTTGATGAGCTCATGGGATCAAGGACTCTTCTGCTTAGATACTTTTTTAACTGTGTGAAAGAATTTAGGAAATAGCCAACGGTGTTTATTGATAGATATATTTGTTTTTACTTTATAGGCATTTAGTCATAGTAAGACCGTGACGTATTTACTTGCTATGATACAGTACTGTGTTTCTCTGAAGTTTAACGAACTTGTATATGTCTTTCTACTGTAGATTGGATCTCTGCATCATGGACTTGGTTGTGTAGGTATTTTTCTCATACTCATTCAAAGTTTGTGGTCATTTCAACTGGTAGCATTTTCTTTAACTGGCAATAACATGCTCTATTACGATTTAACTTTTTCAAAGATTAGTCTTTTTTCAAGCAAGCTTCTTATTGCTGTTGTAACAAAAATGACTTTGGTCTCCAAAGTATAAAGATTTACTTAAAAATGTTTTTCTCAGGGCAACTGTTTAACTTTTTGTCTAGAGTTTTCTAGACTTTCAATACATATTTTATGCATTTCAAATGCTTTGATCACCATAGAAACTAGATGGCCAGTAAAAGAATGATTAAATGATGAAAAAATTTACAGTTGCATCTCTGCTTTGCACCTGGGCCACAATGTGTTTATTATTTCTTGCAGGCTTCAGTATTGATTGATATGCTACAAAGATATTGCCAGTTAATTTAATAGTTTCCTTGTGAAAGATAGGTGAACATAAAAAGTACTGCTTTCAAATTTGTTATACACATATTCAGTAATATAGCTACAGCTGATTGTTCTTACGCACTTTTCAACTTATGTTAGTTTCAGAATAACATTATTGCTAGTAGTTGAATAACAACATCCCGCAAAGTTCAAGCAGAAGAGTTAGCGTAGTACACTGAAATCCGATGACCTTTCACAAATTTGATCTGCATGATTTTTTTCTCAATTATAACTTTGCTATGCGTAAGTGTATTCACTCAGGACAATGTAGGGAATGTAGTTTAAACTGCCTTTTGTTTTTTTTCAGTCTCCTCTTTGCTTTCCTTTGTGTAAACAATTAAAATCATGCAAAGCTAGCTTCGTATTGCTAACTGAAGTGTCTGTCACTGTTTCATGGATCCTTACCAAGCAGTACCAACGGACTGCGAAAAAAACGAAAGATCTAACCTCTGTAAAATACGATGGAAGGGAATCTTATCAGATCGTCTCTTGTTAGGAACGAAAACATTTGTTATGGTTATGTTTCAAGCCAAGATCTCACTCTAGTTCATGGGCTCAGTGACTACACTTGGGTTTTGTTACCTTGCAGTAGCAAATCTCAGGTGGCCATGTGCTAGGGGAGCTAGACCTGGAGGTAGGGGAGCGTGAGGAAGTGCACCTTTATTCCTGTTTTTGTTCACTGAGCGCACATGTAAGCTGTTCGGTTACCGGAATAGTCAGCCGGAAGATAGAAGCGATTGATTGCTCCAGCGTTCTGCACCACGCTGGCTCCTTCAGAGCATCCCTCAGGCGTTTTTAGATACCTTCTGGCAAGCCCAGGGACTAACTGAGCTAATGCCAATAGGTAACAGATAAAATGCTAATAGCGTTTAATTCAGTAGCAGAATTACTGTGTGATCTCGGAGTGGGGGGATGTCACCACATGACTTGATTACCAGTCAGTAACAGGTGTGTTTATCTTTGGATTAAAATATAGTGCAGGTAGGGAACGCTAACTCTTTTTCCACTTCTTTTTTTCCCTGCTTATTTAGAGGAAGAGGACCATTAATAAAAGGCTTCTCTTTGACCGTTTTCCTTTGCCTTGTAAATCTCAGAATTCCTCCGTGCAGAATCAGATATAATAGACAAATATTAGATATAAATTTAATATATTTAGTTGTCAAGGAATATTCTCTACTGCACATTTTTAAAGTTTAAAGGACTCCTTTTAATATTGTTGACAAGACAACTTCATTTGCATTTGAAAGAAAGGAAGTCACAGTAGCTTGAAAATAACTGCTTTTGTAGGAGAGTTCAGCAGACATTTCAAATAATAAAATGGAAAATTACTCTCAGGTTTTTTTTTTACCAACATGAGAAAATAAGCTAGCCTGCAAATGCATTTACTTTTTTCTGATTCCACCTTTTCTTTGGTATTAGGGAGTGAACAAATTGAATTAATTCAGTAGCTGACAAAAAGTAATCTACAACATCAGTTTATTCATCATCTCACAAAAGCTGAAGTCGCTTTGCATCCCTTGTTCAAATATAGATATGTAAAAATGTTCAGTAAAGCAAGCATACTTTGCTTTGAGCTCCCACTTGCTTAAACTGAAGTTCTTGTGAAGTTTTATGGCTACGAAAGCTACAGTTTACTGCTATCACTAGTAAAACTTCCACTGGCATCCATATTCACGATGTGAGCTCTTGGAGAATGTTTTATGTAAGGGTACTGTTGGTGTTGAATGTAGTGTAAGTTTGTGGAACCCAAATCCATGTTCTCTGGTTGGTCCTTTGATGAAAACCAGTCAATTGGTCTTAGAAGGACAGATACTTGGATTATTCAAAAAAAGACTCTAGGCATGAAAGGCCTTCTTTGTTGTCTAAACTTTGCTATATTAACCATGAGCTTCTGTGTTATCCTAGGTCCTCTCTCTGCCCCACCGGAGGCTCGTTTGCTACTGTAGGCTCTTTGAAGTTCCAGATCCAAATAAACCTCAGAAGCTTGGATTGCACCAGCGAGAAATATTTTTATTTAATGATCTTCTCGTGGTATGTGTTTTCAGATTCAGTTTTTGTTTGTTTGTTTGTTTTTAAGATTACCTTTACTAATACGAAGATTCAGAGAGAGATCAAATGTGTTCCATGTCATTTAGCATTTTTTTACTCTGCATTAAACTTCATTGTATTACTAAACTTCTACTGCTGTTCATGTACTTACATGGAAACAAGACCATTTTTAGCCTGATATTCCTGTTAGCGTATTTTTGCGTAAGAGGTAAAGACTTTTACACGGGAGAGCTTTATTGGCACTATCACCAGGATGCTCATGACGAGTTTTGCTATTGCTTGTAAATTTGACACTCTGACAGCTCTCTGGCTCTCTTTGGCTCTGCAGCAAATGGTGTTCCCCCACGTTGTATATATTTGTGTTTAGCTATCTATAGGGGTGCGTAGTCTTCTAGTGAGAGAACGCCTTTCTCTCTGAAATCAATGGGAATTAACTGCATATATGCATTTCCAAAAATAAATATCTACTAGCTGTTAATCTATACGTTAGGCATCAGAACTCCAAAATTTGGCAGTTCATTTCTCTAAGTTGCAGTCTGTTTCCTTCAAATACCGTTGATCTCTATGGACGTTAGGGCACCAAAAATTCAGTTATAAACAGCCTTTGCAAAGGTGCAGTGTTTCCGGTCTGGATTTGACCAGATCTAAACATCAGATTTATTACCTGCAGTATAATTTAAGTATAACAGTTAGAAGAGAAAAGAATGGTAAAATATTAGTCAGTGCAAAAGGGCCAGTGCTAGATTCCCTATCTCCCACTACTCTGCTGCAGCTCTGCAAAAGGAAGTAATGACTACAGCTTGAGAAGTGATGTCAAGGAAAACCTGTTGTCCCATCGTTTGTCCAAAATCCAGCACAAAACAATGTGTTCTGAAGAAATTTCTCTGTATATTAGATCATGGTCTTTAATCTGAGGCAGTCATGGTCCATCCTGGTTCCCCTTTCTGTGTATGTGTAAATCACTCAGAGGAAATGAAAAAATAATTTATTTGTAGAGAGCACTGAAAATAAGATGAACTTCAAAAAATAAAAGTTTGAATTATTTGCATATATTTTTGTAGTACAGTAAATCATACCTGAGAAACCTGAAAAATGCGTTTTTGAATATGTGAGTTTGAGTGACTATCACTTATATCACGGGTCTTTGTTGTTTTTGAGTCTTTATTAAAGATTTAGATGATCAGATTTTGTTTATTGTTAAATGGACACTAATGTATAGTTTATTTTGCAGCATGTGTCTTAGGTTTCTGGTATGTGCATTTAAGTCTGAGACAAGATTTTTGCAATTTTGAATGTAGATAAATGGTGATTTGGGCAAGTTCAGAATCTAAATTATGTTACAGTTGGCACATGATATATTGTTAAGCCTCGAATAACCTGAGAAAGATTAATATTTAAACTTGCCTAATTAGGTAAGAGATTTTCTTTGATACTGAAGCTTTTTATTAATTGCTGCATCGTATTATAAGAAAATGCTTTGGTACAATAGCTTTTATTATAAAGGAAAAAAATTCCCCCAATTTACCCGTTTACCTAGAGAATGTCTCTGTTCCATGAATAATGAATTTATGTGAGTTACTTGTGGAAAAGGAAAAAATCTGCCTATTGATTTGTATTCCATAGATGTTTTATGAACCAGACACATTTATTCACTGGAATACAAATTAGATATGTTGAAATACATTATTTAACAGTTCACTTTACTTTCTGGTGTACGTTTAACCTGACCCAGTCTTTTGAAAAAGAGATGTACAAGACTGGTGACAGCTTGGAATTATTTGGTTGATCTCCTCTTGAAAACAGGAAAATTGGTTGCCCTCTGTTTGGAATGTATCTGACTGTTACCTGGAGAAGTAAGAAGTTAAATATTTCATATTTTATTATGAAAAAGGCACGCTTCAGAGATGCATTTTCATTGTGTACAATTTTTGCATATGTTCAGACATTAAAACGAGGAGGTTAAACCAAAAAAAATCTTTTATCCCTTTGGTTGTGAGTACAACCTCCCAGCTGTAAATGCGAACTTGAGCATAAATCGATGGAACATTGTCTTCCTCAGGCTGCAAGCATTCTGTTGTTTTGTATTACTTATTCAGCTGCCAGTAGTTTTATCAAATTCTTTTGGAAGTAGTACAGACCAATTTTGTCAGTTCTGGTAAAGTGGAACCCCACAGCCAAAAGTTAAAATTAGCAAGAACTACTAAAAAGAAACTTCTGAGCGATACAGACAGACTTGCATTCACATGCAAAACCCAAAAATTGATGGTAAGTAGTAGTATGTTATTTATATTGCAGCCAAAGATAAAGGTTTCCACTGAACTCAGAGCTTGTATTGAAAGGCGCTGTACAAAACAGGGAAAGCAGAGCATCATTAATGAGATGAAGTGCAAGACAATAGTTGGAGGTGCACAGAGGCAAAGCAGGCTTGGAAGAAGGTCACACAGCAGGTCAGAAGAGGGGCTGGGAAGTAAACTTGTGTTGAGAAGTCCTGTCCAATCTGTCTGTAGACAGACTGTAAGAAAGTGTGAAGGGAAGGTATGGTAACAGCTAATTTTAAAAAAATATATAATTTAAACATATTTACATTTTTGATAGGGTGTACAGAGCACAAAAAGTATTCTATCTTTTTTACTGAATTTCAAGAGGTAAGGTCCTGGAGAACAGGGAACACACAGGTCTTTGAATCTTTATAAAATATTAAATGTTCTGGCTAAAAGATACCGAGACTTCAAAACTGTTTTGTTTCTTCAGTATCAGTAGATTAAATACAGCGGTTGCAGTATAAAAGAGAAAAAAATAAAAAATACATGTTTGCTGGCAGATCAAAGCTTTCTTTAGTATAAAATGTATCAAATGCTAATTCTGAAGAACAATAATTGTCCAGTAACACATAAGGTAAAGGAGATATTTCCTTTTGTATGATAATTTTCAGGTGACCAAGATCTTTCAAAAGAAGAAGAACTCGGTTACTTACAGTTTTCGACAGTCCTTTTCCCTTTATGGAATGCAAGTTCTTCTCTTTGAGAACCAGTGTAAGTCTTTCCTCTCTTTCTAGATGTTCATTTTATTTAAGAATAAAATAAAATTGAATTGTGTGAGTGGAAAAGGATGGACGGGACTTGATTCTAAATGCAGGAATAAATTTACCGTGAATTGAACTTGGCCTAAAGTTTAAAACAAGGTGCTTTTAGCATAGGGAACAGCAGGACTGGTGTTAGATTTCTGGTTATAGCCAGAGACCAAATCTAGCCCAATGTGGTGTTTGTGGATGCTTGTAAAGAGCAGAACGTTTGTAAAGAAACAACTATCTGTTGCTGATCCGATGGTACGGTTAGCTGGAACTGAACGTAGGGTAGTAAATGACGGCTATAACAATGGTTTGTGTGATTCAAGTCACTACTACTTTTATTTTCTTGATTTTTAACTTCCCTTTGTGCCTAGGTAACGTATATTCATTATAATATAAATACAAAGTAGAATTAGGCAGAGATTGTGTATTCAAGTTTTTATTTTCTGCCCCACAGTGTTTCTTACGTCGATTGTAACCTGCATCAATCCAGTGTGCTTTTTTCTTTTATATCTGTTGAGCTCAGTGTTAGGAGACAGCAGTCCAACAAAAAAGCAAATATTTTGCTAATGCTCCTGCAGATTTTAAGTCCGGAAACAGTATCCGTAAAATGTAGCAGAGTGTAGTTGTCTCTTTGGTACCTAGGGTGGCAATCTGTTTGAGGTGACTTCATGGTTTATAACCCAACCCTTAACCTTCACGATAAATTGGATCAGTGTGACATTCAATAGTTCCTGTGTTTTTCTGTTGTGGAAGGCACTTAGTTTTTGCTCGTCCTTGAGAATGTATTCCAGTGGCTCATCTCACTGAAAAGAGGTTGCTGTATTTTATGAGTCAAAGCATGTGGAGATTTGAAAAGGGAAGATTTTTTTGAGTTCATAGCAGGAGTGTAGCCTAGAGATTATTTATATGCATATGCATTCATTCTCTCTCACATGCACACATTATATAATGCAAAGTTCGTTTCTAAAGAGCACCGCCAAGTATTTCTATCCTTGGTTCTACTATAAATAGAAGAATATATATTTCCTCTGAAGTCAAGGGAGGTTTTTTGTTGTTTTTTAAAGGACAGCACAGAAGTGTGCTAGATAGAAACATTTTATTCAAGTAAATATAAAAATATCTCCGGTGGGGTTAGGAGCAAAGGCCTGGATTCTTCCCAGGGAACTGTAGGCGTTTACCTGAGGCGCTTCAGTAGACCTGCAGTCATGGAGGCTCCTAGGGCAGGCCGTTGCTGAAGGTGCGTGGGTGAGCTGAGCGTGCTTCCAGTATCGCTGCCTGTTGGGTGGGACGTAGTACTGTTCAGCTGGGAAGAAAAACGTTCTTCCCCCCCAGTTTCTAAAATTCACGTTATCGGCTGCCCCTGCCCTCAGCGAGCTTTGGGGTGTTTTGGCCAGTGCAGGCATGGCGCCCGGTAAGTCTGTGTGCAGCAGCTGTCGGAATCGGCTGCTTTCGAAAACTGTGTGAAACGTAGTGTCGCTAAAGCAGAAGCAACAAAAATAGTGATCTGGCTACTGGTGAGTTGGCTGACATGAGTGGCATTGCACAGTTAATGGCAGAAGTAAATTATGTTGAAGGGTGGGTTCGTTCCAGGAAAGAAAACGCTGTCATTTATCTCTAGTACATAAATAGGCCGCAAAGAATGTATATCCTACGTTTTCAGTGAAAATCACCTGAAACCCATAATACTTACATTGGTGTTTCCTGATGCTTAATTAGTAGGATGCAGAGAAATACCATTTGGTAATAAAATATTTTTGTTTGTTTAGTATGTGGAGTTTGGTGGTTCTTTATTGATCTCTCGAGGTAACCGGCGTGACTTTGTCTGCGGTTACCTGCAGACTGACCTTATCGTTCAGTTTCAAAAGCAGCTTTTTTCCCCTCTAGCATTCAAGTACACCTATAGCTGTTGGCCGCGTAGCCAGTTTCAGCGTTCAGAGCGACACGCGGGCTGTGTGTGTACGCTCAGCGCCTGCGTTAGCATGTCTGGCCTCAGTCCCAGCGGCCGTGGTTTTGGCCGTTGGCTACGGTCTTTGGCTACGTTGGCGGCTCTCCTAACTGACTGCAAGTAGATGCCAGCGTCGCATCCTCCGAAGCAGATCAGCTGTCGTGTGGTGCCTCTGCACAAGATGTCGGCGTGAGGCAGAAGCTGTAAATTATTGCTCCCTCCTTCCCCTCCTCTGTACCACTTGAAGGTTGGGCTAGCTGGCTCCTTTTTTCACCTGAGAACAGTAAATGGACATGCTTTGCCCTTAGTTGCGACGCTGATTCAGAAATGAAGATGTCTCTTGAAAAGCAGTAGTATTTGCACTTGTTTCTTAGTGTTTTTAGGCTATATATTGTTGACACCGAATAGCTTTGAGCGAAAAGACTGCCTCACGTTATCTGCTGGTTCCCGAGAGAACTTGCAGTATGTGGGAGCTCTTGGACTTCGGCTGGAATAGTGAAGTAAACACTTGAGAGCTTTAGCTGATAAATATAATCAGGCAGTTGCGTTAAAAACACACACACACACACACACAAACCCTTGATGAATTACAGTGCACATTTTGAGTTTTTGTGGTGCCTTGTTTCTGCAGGTCTGTGATTCAAACAGAACTGACTCTGTTTCCTAGAGCAGAAAAAATCTTCATTGTAAGCTATCTTTCTGTCTATAAACCTTGCTCAGCCAGGAGATGTTTTTGAGCAGCCATCAAAATTTTTAGTGTTAGATGTGCAGCTAGAAAAGAGACAAAGACAATTTGCAGAAAGTTCTCCCTTTTATTGTAAAAACGTCCATAATATGAGCCGCTGGACTGGGGTGGGGGGGGGATGACTTGCTTCTTCAGTATGTAGCTTCACAGTAAGCAAAAAAACAAAATGAGACAAAAATAGAATGACTAGAAAACAAAACTTGATAAGAAATAGTAAAAGTCATACATACTATTTGTTTTCTCTATCTTCTTAACAAACATGAAGTTAGAAGTACAAGAAAGTACTTGAGATATATTTGAGAAGTCTTTACTTAGCAAAACTTTGAGGCATAATTGAGTGAAGGAATGAGATCAGTTCCATTAAAGAAAAATTATCAATCCCCTTCAATTTTTCCCCTTTTTTTTCAGAGGTTTTTGTTTTATATAGTACATTCCGGTCATAAAGACTGACTGCCTTTCAATATTTATAATTTCACAGTTAAGCAGTTCCAATGTATGTTAGGGCTTTTTCATTCTACTTCTGTGTCCTTTGACTTTTGTTTCTCCAGTTTTGTCCTCTATGTGATGATATTTGTAAAAAAAGCCTTTGGGCTTTAAAAAAAAAAAAAAAAAAGACATTGAAAGCAATTGAAATGATCGGGGCTTCAATATTCATGCCTTTTTATTGACTCTCTCTTAGATTACCCCAATGGTATACGGCTCATCTGCTTTTCCAGGAGCAGACATCAAAGTACTAATAAATTTCAATGCACCAAATCCTCAGGACAGGAAGAAGTTTACAGATGATTTGAGGGAGTCAATTGCAGAGGTTCAAGAAATGGAAAAGCACAGAATAGAGTGTAAGTACAAAGGTACATATAATAGAGCATTCTCAAAGTAATCAAAATCAGAATGTCTTCAATCTGTGTATGGTCCATTAGAACTCTTTTAAAAGTTCAAAATAGTGTGGATTTTTTTTCATGACTTTGATTCTAGGAAGAAGAACAACCCATTGATCTGTCAAACTCCAGCTGAGTTGATTGATGTTTACATAGTGCAGTGTAGCTACAGTAGAAATTTAACCTGAACAAACAGCAAAGAGCAACGGACAGAGGAGGGATGGCTTTGTAATTTGTAGTATAAATTACAGTGAGAATTTTAGGGATAATTTACATGACTCTGAAATTTTAAATGATGGTCCTTGAAGAAGTTTCACTGTATTTTTCTTTACTTCTGTGTTTATATTCTTGTATTATGTCAATTGAGTACAGTATAGTACAAATCCACATATTTTGCCAGAAGTTACCTGGCTGTTTAAACAGTTTTTCTAAGAGAGGAGTAGCCTTTCAACCTGTATATTGTATTACAAAGCCCTTAGGACAGGAACCAAGTTCCTCTCTGGCATTTAGCAGTTCCAAAATGAACTCCTACTTTTGAATTCATGGTAACATGTGATCACGTACAGAAATTGCGATGTTACTGTATGCGTTTCATTATAGTCGCTAACTATGAATTGCACAATTATTCTCTGTTTCAGCTGAGCTAGAAAAACAGAAGGGTGTGGTGCGTCCGAGCATGTCTCAGTGCTCTAGTCTGAAAAAAGAGTCTGGCAACGGGACGCTGAACAGGGCTTGCCTGGATGACAGCTATGCTACCGGGGAGGGGCTGAAAAGAAGTGCCCTGAGCAGCTCCCTTAGAGACCTCTCTGAAGCAGGTAAGCACTGCCTTTATTTCCTTGCTCTGACTAGTGCATGTAAAGATATGTAGATGATGCATATAAAAGCATAGCTCGCAGGGCGCTAACCGGAACTGGTAATACTGAAATTTGAAACATTTTTAATAGCTCCTCTTCAATAGTTTGTGTTTAATAGCTGTTTGTTTGTTTTTTACCCTTGTTCTGTTGAACAACCACTATTTGAAAGCATTTAAACCATTTTAGATTGCTATATATACTTTTAAAGGAGAGTGAAGACAGAGGAAAAATTGTAAGTGTTTTATAGAAAAAATGGTTGACTTGTACTAGGAGTGGCCCATTTAGTTTTCCTTTCTTTTCTTCCTCCCCTTGCCTCTTCCCCTTGATACAGTAGGCTTGGGGGGGGGGGACAAAACAAACAAACCCTGTGGTCTCTGTAATGACAACTTTCTGTGTATTTTTGTGCTAAGTGTGTACCTCTGTTACTACATTGATGAATGAAATTGAGTGAAGCCCTACTAAATTCTGTTTCGAGCTATGTAATTCAGTTAATGTTGTGTCACTGATAACTCTTTTATTGTTTTGCGACTCAAGATATAATTCCTAATTCTTGCAAAAGTGTCTGTTTGTGAAATACTGTTGCCAATATAATACAAGAAACCCTAGTTGTCCAGAATACTGATGTCCCCCCAAAAATCATTGTTGTGTCTAAAACTTATTAACTGATTAATATAACTGAGGACTGGAGAGGAGCAGTGGTGTGATTTATTTGCTTAAGAAAAATGGGGGAAGTTTGGTATGTTTTAATTTTATTGTTTGCCTCTGTCATACGCAACTGGCATACCCGTGTAACACAGGCTACTACAGGTAACCCTGTGTTTCAGTGTTACCCGCAATTCCTGTCATTACAATAAGTCATACTTGAACACCACGCTCTGTATTCAGAAAGTACTCCTGGGGAGAGTATCAACTAGATATTTATTTATTTTAGTTCATGCTCTGTGTTACATGCTCTGCTTTTTTCCATTAATTGCAGTGATGATTTACAATATAGTCATAATTTCGATAGTACATATATCTTTGCTAGTAGACACTTCTTGTCTTTTCCTTTTTTTAATTGAAGAGGAGATTTTAGCTATGCTTCAATAAATAAAATCTTTGTAAACTGAAATTATAGCCTGTGTTTTGTGGGTATGTGTATGTACATACAAATATGTAGAAAGTGAGCTCTTTCATCAGTTATGTTTTATCCTCTGTTTAGGCTCTCATACTCCCTTGTCCGTTCACTTCATTTAAAAGACTTAGGACCTTGCTCCAAAATCATATTGAAGTTGGAAAGAGTTGCTTAATTGACTTCAATGGATTTTAGATCAAGCCCCTGGTCTTTAGCGTTATTGTATCTCAGATTCCAGAGTACTTTCATCATCCTTTTTTGTTGTTTTGTTTTTATTTCATTAGAATGAGAACTGCCATATTGCTGAATATGTGAGTTCAGTGGGTATGTGTACCCATATATGTGATTCACGATTAATTTATTTCACACCGTATGAATTTTTCATCCCAGTCTTTCAAACATTGCCATGTATTTAAGTTCATGTTACAGGTTTTATGCAATAAACAAGTATTTGTAATCATGATAGCATTTCATGTTTCAACAGGGCATGCCTACAATAGGCATGCTCGTTACTGAAAATAACCTTTTTCCATAATAAGTAGAAGTCACGGACTAGAGGGTTTATCAATGAGTTTGTTAAACCCAACTAAACTTAATTTTATCTTTAACAAGTTGAGAATTATGGAGAGTTTCTGTTTGGCCTTGTGCAGTGCAACTGACTTGAGAAATGACGTACCTGTAACTTGCTTTGTTATTTGTTGCAGCTTCAGTAATGAGATTGTAGATGCTTTTCCTATCTTTTCTCCACAAATAGCTTGCATGTGAGGTTGATGTTGTTTCAGTATGGGAGAGATGATCTGTAGGAAAGCAAAGAAGTCACTTTGTTAGCAAGATACTGTGTCCCAGTGATTATACCGCATTAAATTACTTTTGTAAAGGCGTACTGAGGTTGCTTCCATTCTTGTATTTTTGTGATATGAAACAGAAGATGAAAAAGGAGGAGGATCAGGAGCAGCAAGGCTGTGTGTGTGTGTGCGTGTGTGTCTTTCTGTAGGAAACAGGCATATGAAAATGGATTTTTAGAGTTCCTCTCTGCATTAAAATAGAGCAACTAATTAAAGTGAGCAAACTGCCTCATTGCGTATGTATGCAGTAAGGCAGATAATTGCCCAGTGAAGACTGCAAAAACAATCTGAACATTTGTAACAGACTAATGCAATGAAGGGAAAAGCTGATTGAGCAGCACTTTGGTTGCATGGCTATATGACAAAACTTTTTAAGAAAACATCTTGTTACTCTCTACTGGATGATTTAGTAGTAAATGGTGACTGCGGGAAGTGACTTCCCTTCTGGAAATGAGTGAAGATTCATGAGCTGCTTGGCTCTAATGAATATCGATTTCTTGAACGGTTCTGACTCCTAAGCCATAAACAATTTGGAAAGGCAAGATTTCTCTGTCAGAAAACAAATGTCGGGAATTGTTTACTGATAGTTATTTTTCCATGCGTTTGCTATGGTAGCTTAGGTCATAATTGCAAGAAGGGTGTGAATGAGGGCCTTTTGATTAAAGATGATATTATTCTTTGTGGATTGACATGAGTTTCCAATGAATAAAAAGCAGAACTGGGAACTGGCAACCAACTGTATCCTAAAATCTGAATGAGTCAGAAACATTTAGTGCTTTATTCTTTCTCAAGAGAGAAAAATACCATCATTTTTATTGCATATGGTTGAGCTGCAGTCAGGAAGAACTGAGCTTATTCGTTCCAGAATTTGAAATTCTGAATTTACATAAAAATACAAGAAGAAAAACGAATCTTAATGCAATTTAGAAAAAGCTATCAATTCTGTGAGTTCTAGTAGAATTAGTGGATCATTTCACCACTTACACCATTTCAGATTACACCAAGTGAAAGGTGTAAGGTACCACCGTAGTCATTGCTAAGTGAGGAGAATGATGTGGTTGCTAAAGCACAGACTGGTTGAGTAGACTGGTTGAGTTTCTGATGTGGTATCTGTCATAGGTGTCTTGACTGATTTTAGGCTAGGCAATTATTATCTGAATTCCAGTGACTGAGAGTTCTTACAGGACCTAGTACTTTACTTCTGAGTAGATAGTGGTGAGCTCTTCTGGAAATCAAGCTTTATTCCCTCCATTCCCAATCTGTAAAATGTGGGGGTAGTATTTGCACACTGCATTGGATTAAAAGTTATAATGCATGGGAATCTGCATAGAAGTGCAAGGTGGTATAATGGTTACTGCAAATAAAAGTTCTTCTTGTCTCATAATCTCCTGAGCTATGTCAAATAACCATATCATATATAATCACAGACCAGCGTTGACTGCTTAAAAAAACCCATAAGCTAAAATAGTTCCAGCATTAAAATAATTCTGTTATTTGTGTATTGCATATAATCTAATTTGTTGGCTTTGAACTTTTAACATATTTTTTTCTGTCTTCAGAGGGGAAAAAAGCATATTTTCCCCTCCCTTTTTTTTCTTTTTGAACTATTTCATCTTTTTTTAAAGTTTCCTATATCCCAAAATGTAACGAAATAGACTGTAAAACTTTGCTACACTGTAATCCCCTTATACAGACTCTGATTTCGTGCAATTACAGAATCCCTCCATCTGTTGACTCAGTCTCTGATGGGATGGTGCAGTCCCTTGACTCCTCCCTCATCTGATGCAGGCAAGGTTACGAGGTTCTTTGCTCCCTCCTCTCCCATGGATTGTGCTGCATTATACAGGACAGGGGACGCTCGCATACTTTCTCCCCCATCAGAAGAGCTTTCTAAGGGAGCAGGGAGAGATTTTCCTGTCTCTTCCTTTGTCACTGTTGTTAGCTTTCCTTTCCTTCAACGGGCTATCAACAGTAATGTGTATGATACAGTTTACTGATTTTTTGGTAAAACAGAGTTGTATGAATTAAGTTTTTTGTGATACATCCATGTCAATACCAAGTCATTCTCCAAATATGTTGTATAAAGGTGTCCATGCATGTTTACAACTTGTCTTATGGAAGAGACACTGTTTACCTTTTTTTTTTTCCAGTGACGGAGGAGTTCAGCAAGGTGAGGTGTAATTATGCTGTCTCCTCATCTTGTGGAATTTAATCAGCTTCTTAAGAATAAACTGCTTGAAGTGGCCAAAAGACTGTTTTCACAGTTGGTGTGTGTTCTCAAGGCTATACCTGTCTCACCCAAAAACAGGATGAAAACATTAAAGACTACAAACAATCTTTTCACCCTGGAAAGCGATCTCTCTAAATTACCATTAGAGCACGTTGAGATAATTTTGAGCAAGTTAGGTTGGGTAGTACCTGTTACCTCTGTAGCTAGGTGGTTGCAGATTCTGCTGGTGGGAATACCAGTTCCACGACCTGTGGAGGCTAGTGTAATAACTCAGAAGAGCTACTAAATGAGTTTGCTTCACCAAAAACATCGTTTAGAACTCTCCCAAACTGGTTTTGCCAAGAATTACAAAACAAATTGAGAGAAGTGTTTTAGTTCTCAGTGTCTCTCATTGGCATGGAACAAAGATTTCCAAGAAAGGCAGGATAGTAAGAGAATAAATATTTAACATTTCCTGAAGTGATCTGCGCATCTGAGATCCCTTTCTTCAAGGTAGAGTGGATTTTTTTTAATGAAACCCTGAATTTTCTCTGGGAATTTTCAAGTTGGAAAATATTAATTTGAAGTATTTTTAGTCCCATATAATATATGTACATATATGGGATACATGATACTTTCTTGTGTCAGTTGGATGTTTCTCAGAAAGAATATCAGTATCTAACATAAGTAGATTGGCTGAATGAATCAGAAAAGATTAAAATAACTGAAATGTAATTTTATAAAAAGGAATTGAAAGCTACTCTAAATAACCTTCAAAAAATACCAATTTGAACCGGAAATATTAAGTGGAACTGGTCTTCAAGTTTGATAAATGCCACCTTGCTCTGTATTGCAGCAGTTAATTATGCTAGTAGAGAATTATCCTTACATAGGAAAATTTTTGTGAAGGGTTCACCATTTTCCTGAAATGCATGTGAACACTGCAGCTCTAGGGGAACATTTCTGAGATGGGATGCCATCTCAAAGACCAGCAAACAGTCTTCTATAAACATACGCTGGCAGGGGGAGTGCTCTAGAGGTTTTAGTACATAGCTTTCGTGTCGCCAATACAGAACTTGGTGCAATTTGTTTTTAAGAAAATAAATCAAGCTCTATTTATAGTAATATCTGAGGGGAATTACGGGCATTTTAAGTAGAATTTTCCTTTTGTTCTCGGCTTTGCTAGTACTTTTTTGCCCTGAAGTTATTCTAAGCAAACATCTATCTGTCTCTTTCTGTCCATATATACTGTGTTTCTGGTTATTTTATTAAACTATTTTGACTTCTGCCATATGCAGAAGACATTAGATTTTCCTATTTTCCTTCATTTTTGGCCATATTTAGTGATTCATGGCAACTGTCAGTCTCATTTACAATGTCAACTGCTGCGTTAGGAAATGTGCGTTTTCTCTGTGTTTATAGATTGGCAAGCAAGAGTGATTTGAGTGTTAACCAGTGCTAGTTCCATTAGCAGAGCAGAAAAAGATGAAAGCCTGACAAGAAAAGAATAAGGGGTTATCAAAACCAGTTTTTCTTTGTGGTGCAGAGGATACCACAGGTTTTGATCAGGCTAAAACAGCAAGAAGGGATGAGCCACAAAGCTTTTGACAAAGAGTCTGTCTAGGGAAATTGCTCAAGCTCTAGCAAACTTGCAAGCCAACCAAAAAACCTTGGGCACAAGCGCATCTCCCTCAATTTGATGTCAGGGTTTGTATTGGGGAATAACTCTCAGTGATCATGAGAGAGAGAAGAATGTCTCATCAGTCCAGAGACAATACAGTAGGTCTTAAGTGAAACTTGTGTTGCAGGGCAGTGTCCCATGACCAACCAGGTCGTGGTGGTGCTTACGGATCTGGTAGGTGCTGGTGCTGCTTTTAGATCATACTGTTATACAAGGCCTAGGAGTAATCTAAATTGCTCCATGAGAGGGTTTGTGAGAAGTCAGGGTGAACCTCCCAGGAACTACTGTTGTGTCCCACTTAAAAAACAGTTTGAAAGTTTTTCTCTTTGGCTCCCTGAGTTATACAACAGATGTCTTGTGGCTTCTGGTCGTGTAAAGATGAGGGTACGTGGCTTACAGGGTCAGGGTCAGGGAGGCTGAAATCCTTGTATTCATCTCCAGCAGTGCCTGTTGGAGAAGGCGGCTCTGAAGGCAGCGATGTTCCAGTGTAGGGTGGAGATTGGCTCTGAATTTGGCCTTGTAGGAAAGTAGTGGCATTGATAGAAAACCTGTGGTTCTGAAAACGCACAGTTTTTGGAGACACTCTGATAAACCAACCAGCCTTCAAAGGTTAGTTTTGTTTATACATCTCCCCAGTGAAGAATTTTTATACTTCTCAAAGCAACCCTCAGCAAGCTACCTTCTCAAAAATACCTACTGTCAGTTCAGCCCCATGCTATTCTCTCTCCTGTGAAATGAGAGAAAATCTGAGGTCCTGCGTCCTATACATAGCCACTGAGGTATTCTGGCTCTTAGGCAATCAGTCTGGTGTTTCACGTAGAGTTTTAGTCAAATGTGTCTGGCAATTTGAGAATATTGTAACAAGCAGCAAATCCATCGTACTTAAAGCACTGCACAGCTAAACAAACAAAATCTAGCCATAATATCAAGAGAGATTCCAGTTTTACTGATCAAAAATTAAGTTTAGTTTTTTTAAACATCATGAAAGAAGATTATATGAAATCCACTGAGGTTCCAAATTGGAAGTGAAATGATGAAACTGATGCCCCTTACCATTCCCCCACACTGAAGTTCAGAATGGGCCGATATTAAATTATACATTTAAAGTAATACCACACCACAAGTATATATAATACCTTCACTGTTTAAAGAAAAAAAAAATCATAGAGAATTAGCTTCCAGAAAATCCTAGCTGGTCAACCTCATTATCACACTACTAAATATATAGATGCTAAAATATACATATGTTAAGAGTTGTACAAATAAAAAAATCACGCTCCAGCAATGGTAGCTGATTCACAACAAATATTTCTTAGAAGTTACAGTCAGGTACAGAAACTCAATAAAACTAATGGCCTTAAAATTTAAATTTTGGCCTTAAAATCTAAGTTTCTGCCTTAGTAGCTACTGTACCAGTCCAGTGCAATGTTAACTCCCCTGCAACCCCTCTAGTTGCATTTAGAGACTCCTCTAGTGATTCAGGGAAAGCAGCTGTTTTTCACCCGGGTCTTGTCTCAGTCTCTAATCTATGGTGTTGCATGTCCTGGGCAGGCAAGCGTGGGCGACGCAGCAGTGCAGGATCGCTAGACAGCAATATGGAAGTAAGTAGGAAGTTACTGATGTCTAGCTGGATGTGATGATGTGCATTTCAAACCTTTCTTTTATATACATATTTTTTTTGCTCTTTTTTCTTCTAACATATAACCTGCCTGCCTCAAATAAAATGCATGCCTAGGCTACTCACTTCGTATTCTTCCAGCTTAAAAAGCACTGACAGCTTGTTTTAGACCAATGCCATTTTTGGTTTGAGCTAACCTTATTCCCTTTGTTCCTGCAAGCATGGTTAAATGAATATGATGTGTCCTTTTGCCACCATTTCAGTCTGGTCCCAGCTTAAAAGCCCACTTGCTCTTTGTTACAGAAGTACACTGTTCTTGCTGTTTGATATTTAGCTAAAACTATTGACTTTCATGCTCAACCATTCACATTGCTTATTTTCTAGTTAAATTGCTCAATGTATGCAGTCATGACACCATGGAATTGCACAGATAGGGCATGGAAGGAAAAAATGAATAAGATAGGTGGATTCAATGTGGATTTCATGAGATTTCATTCATCTTCAAACCATTTTTATATATTGTTCATGTCTTTGAATTCAGCTTGCAGACTTTTTTTTTTTTTGTGTTTGCTTTAGGTAGATTGCAGTTTAAATCTAGCACACTTTGCATAAGTACTGTTGTGTCCCATAACTGTCTTTACAAAATATAAACCCCAAACTTCCAGAAACTAAATAGACCATTCCAGGCTAAATAATAGCAAATGTTGGACCGTAGGTCAGAACAACCCAATCACATAGCAATCTTAGTGGCAAGAGTGGTATGGTTCCATTTAACGTACAACGTAGAGTAAGGCTTGAGAAGCAGCACTGTGGTATATAGTAGTAACAAACTACTATAAATAATTAAATTTTAAAAACTGATTTTGAAATCTGAATTGTAACTGTAGTATTTGCTGCTATGTGTTTAACTATTTAGGCTGAATTTAACTTTTTTTTTGTTTTAAAAAAGCAACTATGTTCTTTTAAAGTATTTCAAAATGTACTTTTTCTTTAAAAACACATGTCTAGGTATTATGTCATGTTACTCTTCCGTGACAGTTTTCTTATTTAAAATGACAGCTTTCATTATTAAAGTATTGAGAGAAAAACTATTAATGCTCATAAACATTCCAAGAAGGGCATGAATGCCTCATTGGCAATTTAGGAAAAATGGAAATAAAATTTCTCCTAGAACTCAAACATAGTCCACCCATGTGAACACTTAAGGAGGAGTGTGTGGGTCAGTGTGAACTTTTTCTTTTAAACATTTTAAGCTTTTTTTAATTTTTATTTCTATTAATTTCTTTTTAGGGGTCCATCATTAGCAGTCCTCACATGCGCCGAAGAGCTACATCAACCCGAGAGTGTCCATCTCGCCCTCACCAGACTATGCCTAACTCTTCCTCACTCCTAGGTTCCTTATTTGGTAGTAAAAGGGGAAAGCCACCTTCCCAAGGCCATCCATCTTCCCAAGGCCATCCACCATCTGGCTCATCACAGCAACCTCCGCACCCTCCAGTACTCCCTCATCAGCAGCACTCTCAGCATCCTTCGGCCATGCACCACGCAGGGCCGGCTGAGGGGCAGACGCAGGCACAAGTGCACTCGCACCATTCGCAGTACTGCCATATGCAGCAGAACCCGCCGCCCTACCACCACCACCACCACTACCACCCTCCCCAGCACATCCAGCACCCGCACCAGTTTCACCAGCACGTGCCGCATTCCCAGCATGCGGCACACTCCCCGCATACTCCCTACATGCAGCATCCCCACGCGCAACATACCCACTCTCCACACCCGCCACTGCCCCCTCCGCACTCGTCTCATTCCCAGCACACTCAGCATCACCATGGACCGCCACCGCCTCCCTCCACTACAGCCAGCACTAAGCCCAAGCACAGTGGCATCAGCACAATAGTCTAGAACATATTGACCCTCCTAATACCTATAGTTTTAAATACAGTTACAAAGGCACTTACAGGAAGCAACAAATAATATTGTCAGTTTTTACCTAGACAGTTTAACTGAATTGCGTGAGCTTAAAGGCTTGCAGATACTAAATAAAGTAATTCAAGTTAGGGCAATCAGTACTGGTTTTATTTACCTACTTGTTAGACGCTTGCCATCTGGTTAGTTATTCTTTCCACACTGCCTTGAAAACATGCTGCTTGCTGAATATGAGTAAAGCTACCTTTTACACCAAATCCCGTGACAATTTTACGTGCATAGTAAAAACTTAGTCTATGAAAAAAGGAAAAAAAGTGATACAGAACCAAGTGTTGCATTCTTGCTCTTTTATTGTCAATGGGCAAAAAAATAAGTAGACCTGATATGGTTGATGAAAGTACGTAAGTAAACTTACACACACACACACATATACATATAAATATATATATATATACTGTATAGTTAACATTTGTGCTTGGAAAGAAATTTTTTCAGTCCACAAAACTAGCAATATAGACCTTACAAAGAATTCCACTTACTTGATAGGACAGTATAATAGATGAATAGCGTATGAAAGAGTAGACCAAAAATATTAAATGTTAAAGACAAATTTCAGACATTTCAGTATTTTCATTAAAAGTCCTCTGGACTTGCTGAGATTTTTAAGCAATCATTACTAAATGTGCCAAGTAACATAGCATTTAAATGTTGTAGTCAAATACTGCTTTGTGTAAATCCTTATTTTATTAACATGATAATATCATACGTAATCAGTATTATAACTGCTCTGCTATTTCAGGTAAGCAAACTTGTTAAGATGCAGTAATTATACCGTAGCAACGTAGGATGGCCGTTTACCTGAGGTCATCTTCAAGCATTGGTCACACCAATTCTTAGACACTTTAAAGGCTGTGATAACTGTGAATTTACATGATCCACATTTCTTTTGTATGCATATGATTTAATGAACACACAGGAAAAGTTACAACAGGTGCATGTATACACTGCAAAAACATTCATCTCAAACATGAAATTGCAAACTTCCATCCTTCTCAGCTACTTTGTTTCCTGTTTGCCATGATTTCTCATTTTTACCCCCAGTTAAGCTGAATTCTAGTCTGAGAGTGTTTCCAGATGGAAGTGCTCTAAAACTTGAAGGTTTGTTTTAGAATTTAGTATAGGGTTTTTTATGTATATATAAATATCTTTAAAGAATCTGTAATTCCATGTAGCCATGTGCTAGCAACAAAATGGCTTCACCATTTCGACTCATCACATTTGTTAGTTTACAAGTACCCAGCACTCAGCAGGCTGAGTTTACGCTCAAACCTTCACTTTCATAGTCCAGATAGATACAAGACATCACATAAAAACAGGCTGTGCTGTTGTTGCTTATGTGTTGTAATCAAACCATTTGCAAATTTATATAAAATTTTTATCCCTGACTCCTGTACAAAGTTATACATGGCGCCTACTTTGTAGTTTCAGCATTTTGAGCCACTGCAAGGACTTTACACCTAAACAGTAGAAACAAAGGAATCACAACTGCAAAACTGTACCAGCCTAAAAGCAAACCTGAAGAGGATGAGCAAAAAGTTCCAGTGTGAGATGGGTAAAAGTAATAATAAAAACGAATTAATTGTCTATTTAACAACAATAATAACCCCGTCAGGAATAATGAGGAAAAGAGAACAAGAGGGTTTTTTTTTGGTAATTTTTTTCCCTTTCATACCATTGAAATCACAATACCAGCAAACTGCAAACTGAGCACTTTGTTATCCTCCACAGAGAGCAAATACAGCAATCTAGAGATCAGCCTTTTGTTTAAAGCTTGTCCATGTTTGTTCCTCACATGTGCAATGCTTTCCCCTTCTGTTTCTTCTCCTATAAATTATCTTCATGAAAAGAAAAGAAAGCAAGTAATTACATTGTTATTTTTAATTATCTCTCATGCTATTCTAAATTCTACAGCTTACCTTAAGAGGGCTCATACAGGCCCCCTGAGGCTCTGTTCCTTGCAGTTAAAAAAAAATATATATATATACTGTTCTTATAAGGGAAAGTAGAACTGTCTGCATGTCATCTAATGTTATTATTGTGAGGCTACACTCTACATATTGTATATTTGCAAAATATATCAGTGTTACTGTTGATATTAGTTGAAGTAAAGTGATAACATATTTAAATATGTAGACTTTTCTTCATACCTCTGTACCACTAGTAGAGTCTAACTGTAATTTATAGGTTGTTCCAGAAAAGATAAAGATACTGTTCAGGTACAAACATCTTTCAGAAAGTGCATCTTTTAATTAAAGCAGAGGTAAGAATGCTGCTCTTCACTGAGTGACATAGCTTGTACTTTTTTCAGATGCAGACTCCTTAATGTCAGTAAAATTGCCTGTGCTGAATAAACGCAGAATATGCAGTAGCCATGGAAAGGAAGGTCTGACCTGAGCTGTGTTACTTAGTTAACAATGAAGACCTTAAATATTCCAGATCTGTATTTGTTGTATGTTTTAAAACCCCTTTCATTCATTTAAATTAGAGTTACATATAAATATTCCAGGTTTACACTATGAGCCACATTTTAATGCTTGACCACTGATTTTTCGTGTACAATCAATTAATTATGCAGAAGTTGTCACAAACATGCATGCAGGAAAAAAAACATTTAGGCATGATTTCATATACACGTGGAGAAAGAGTTTGAGCCTACTCTGTGTGTATATTAAGCTACATGTGTAAAATCACTGACCATTCTGAGGCTAATCTAAAAATCTACAGCAACTTATTCATGTAAGAGCACAGTATTTGTAAAATTTCTTGTTTCGAGTTAGTGAGGGGAGAGACAATGGACTTGATTCCACATCCCCGCCTCCCTCTATCCCCCCCCCATATATTTGTATGTGCTTTTAACAAATGAATGGGTCTTGGTGCCAGCATAAGTCTTAAAGAACTTTGCTCATTTAGGGATATGTAGTGTATCCTGTCGGAGTCCACCCTTGATTAACAATTGCTTAGAGCAGTGTGGATCATGCCTAGAATAGGAAAAGGACAGTACTTCAATATTGTGTGTGGTTAAGAAAATGAATTTTTTTTTGCCTGCAGGCAGGAGTAGAATTGGGAGGGTTTTTTCTCAAATTCCACCGTCAATTAAGAACTGGTACAGAGCTGTATAGATTGACTATGTTTCTCTTTTCCCATAAATAATGTGGCAGAGTAGTAATGCTGATTTCAAAAAATGAAAAGGAATCCAAAGAATGAAGGTGGCAACAAAAAAAAATCTTTTCTGGGACAACGGTCAAATATATCTTTGGGGTTTTAATTTTTTTAAGTTAAGAATGAAATGTACAACAATGTAAAAACAAAAAAAAACCAAGAAACAAAATTCATCCTAATATAATGTACATCTTGTATTGCTAAAAAAAAGTCTGACATACAGTGTAGAATGATTTCCCATCATGTACTGCATGCAGCAGAAGCCTCTTGTTTCTTGATAAAATGAGCTGAAAGACAGTCAGCAGATATTTAAGCAATGATTCTCTAGATGTTGACTTGCTGTTCCACATGAAGCTGTGTGTTTTCTGCAGTTAAGCATGCATTTTGCTGTTCCGTTGTAAAATATCATCGCACTTCTTGCCTGCAGAATGGATTACTGTGTATATATTTAAAAGAAAAATGGAACCAGTAACAAGATGAAATTTGGGAAAGAGAAAAGGGGGTGGTGAAAATGGGACCAAGTAGGGGGAATAGAGAATTCTCTAAATTGTACATAGTGTGTAAATTAGTATTACTATAAGTCTGCAGTCACTTTGAGGTTGCCTACAATACCTATCTCCTGTTAGGAACTTAAATCAGCTTTGAGTTGTATTAAACAGTTAGAATTAGGTCTTGAATGCAGACTGTTAAAAGACTTCAAGAAACATTATGCTTACAAGAAGCTTCTGTTCTGGGGAGGCTTGAGACCCCTTTTGTAACTATGGGGAAGAAAGGAGTGTTTTCATTTTAATATGCATTCTGTTTGTAAGTAGTAACAGACCCTATTGATGTAAAACTATAACTGTGATCATGTGGAGAAATCAAATAAATCATTTAAAACTCTTTGTTTCTCATTTTGTGTAATCCAAGAACTTCAGTGCTCCAGACTCAAATTGAAGAAAATTCCTTCTTGTGATATCCTGGCCCCATTGAGTCCATGGGATTTCTGCTACTGACTTAAAAGGGGCTAACATTACAGTCTTCATCTCAAATTAAAATAAATTAGGGGAAATGGTGGTCAGTACTTGGAGATTGTGGTTACTTCTCGATAGGCTTTGGTTTGTCGGGTGGTACTGTGGAAGTATTTAATTCCTGGGTAAGGTAAAGGACAGTACCACACGTAGATCTGCAAAGAGTAAGAGGCAACATAGAAGAGGCTTTTTTGTGTAGTATTACCGAAACATTCTAACTTTGAAATATAGTAAGGGGATTTTGAAACTTTTTCTTAAACATGAACTATGTAGCATGTTGGACTGATCCTATTAACCTTTTGGCTGTCACGTTGCTTTAGAAGCTCATGTTCAGATGACCCACTCACTGCCCTTGACTCATAAATGTTTTAGTTTGTCCTTCCCAGGGATGCAGTCCTTCATTTCGTAAGTGTAATCTACATTCTTTGGATCAAGCTTTCATTGGCAGGGAACCATCATCATACTTCAGTAAGTGACGTAACTGAATGAATATTAACCAGTTGCTACTTGTACCTGTATTTGTTTGCTATGTGTCTCAATTTACACCACAAAAGGATCACAACATGGGCACGTTTGCCGCACGTGGCCTTCACAATATTTGATGTTACACTCCTGCAATTACTTTAGATAATAAGCTATCGCGTATACACTTATTTTCATGTTATTTTGGGGTTCATTTCCTAGATTAAGGGGGTTATAGCGTGGCTATAAAACCTCAGTTAAAACTAATGTTGGGCTGTGCGTTTAAGTATTGTGTTTACTTGAGTTTTTTTCTGTGAATTTTAGGAGATTCTTGAATTGTTTTGAGGAAATAGTTGACTGTGACCTATTTCTGAATGGCTGTAATTACAGAAAGTACCTCTTGATCAATGATTTTTTTTTGGTAGGTAGGTAAGTACCTGTTTATCACTAGATACTCCAAAGTGTGGCATCACTCTAAGCAATGTGGCACATTAGAAGAGAGCTGCTGCTACTGCCGCATAGAAACACTCTGTTACTGGAAATAGAAGAATTTTCAGTGATGTTCTTTACTGGTCCTTCTAATTCCTGTTTTAGAAACTGTGATTACTTTTAAAAATTTTGATCCTTCTATATTTTAAGAAGGCAAAGAGTCTCTCACCTGTAATTTAACTCTTTTTAAGAGGCTCTAAATGTTGTTATAAAAGAAAGCTAT